GAAGCGGGGCCCGTCCACCGCTGAGCTCCCGAGCGGAGATCCAGGCTCCGTCTGCGGGATCCCAGCTGGAGCAGGCAGGAGCGGGGCCAAGCCTGGGATCAGCTGAGGGCTGGGAATGGGATCGCCGGGAGCGTGGCTCTGCTGACATCTAGTGAGGTTGTCTCCTCTGGCTTCGCGCTCCCTGCGAGCCGGGGAGGCGTTCAAAACCCTCTGAGGGTTTGATATTTCTGAGCAGCCAGTGGATAGGAGTTACGGGTCTTCTTGGTGAAGATGCAGCTCACTGCTGTCCCCTCGCTCTCTGTGCAGCCCTGCCTGGCTCCCAGCTGCTGCCCTGAGCACACACAGCCAAACTGGACCTGCACCATTGCCCTCGCATTGTCTTTCTAGTTAGGCTGAAGCCTATAGAGAAGAAAAGCAGCTCCCTGCAGTCACAGATGCTCTTTGCCTAGTTTTCTGGTTTTCTTGCATTTTTTTTCCACCTGTCTCCATCACGATCAGCTGCCTTAGATTCAATTGACATGATGTAAAATAGAAAATAAGATACAACCACCTCTCTTCCGTGCAGCCAGTGACTCCACTTTTTAGAGCATCCTGTAACGGTGACATCAAGGAAGCACCAGCCACGTCCTGCCTCACTGGTGCTAATGGGACCAGTAATCCTGGTGGGCAACACAGGCAGGACCCATTCTCCTGGGCTGCCTCTGTGAGGAGGAAGCGAGACTGGGAGAGGAACTCGAAATAACCAGAGAACGGGGGGGAGAAAGAGCATGGCTCACTGGGGATATCACAACCCAGCTCCAAGCCGGTGTGTTTGCTTCTGGGCTGGGTCTGTTCAGCTGAATATGGCTCATGAAGGAACAAAGATCAGGTTCCCAGTAAGACTGGGTCACGGAAGACCTGCCTGTTTACAGGAAGACTGTAAACCAGGTCAGTGCCCTGTGGGGGATCCCAGTGCCCCTAAATCACACCAGTCTGTGGCTGTCACTGTCCTGTCTCCAGGGACAGCTTACAGCTTCCACATGCTGCTGCCAGCTGGTTGGTGCTTCGTCCCCCTTCCCTTCAAGCACCATGGGTACGTTTGCTGCTTTTTTTTAGCCATGAAATGGCTAAAATGCCTTTATGTCCCCTAGACATAAAGGCGTTTGTCCCCTGCCTTGTGGCAGCCAAAGGAGAGCACTTGTCCCTGCTTTGTTGTGGTGTGAGGAGGGCACTTGTCCAAGCTCCAGCCCAGGTCCTTGTGGTGCTCAGCAGCCTCTGAGTCCTCCACAGGAAGAGTCCTGGCAGGGGCTAAGGCAGTCCTGGGCTTTCAGAGCTCCCCGAGCCATCTCTGGCTAGGGATAAGCCCGAGTGCCGCCCTGCACACAATGTCTCATTTCCCAGCAAAGCAATTTAAAGTTTCATTCCTGGGAAAAGGGAGTTTCTTGGTAGCAGGAAGCCATCTTGCTGCCTCACCAGTTTCTGGCCACGTACTGCAGCACCTTGGCTGCTTAAGATCCTTGGAAACGGTGGTTTTGCAAAACATTAACTAAAGCCCCCCTAAAGCAGGTCGGTAGCCTTCAGTCTCTGTTTGCAGATAAAGTGAGTGACCTCAGCCAGGTGGCACACACAAGGTGACCCCTGGGGACAGCCGAATGCCTCCTGCACCCCTCAGGCTGTGAAGCTGGCCCTGGGTTAACTCTGCTTTCCCCAGCCAGCGACAGATCCCAGCCCACCCAGGGATCAGCGTGCCAGGGGGGTGGACCTGCTCACCATGACCCACAGCATCTCTGTCCTGAGCACAGCCCTGCTCCAGCAATCCTGCTTCTCCGCAGAGCTGCCCAGACTGAGCTAATTTCCAGCTGGATCTGTTCCCTGATCCAGGCCCCCAGAACCCCTGCCAGCACAGAGGGGTGGTTGTGCTGCTGGACACCCCTTTCCGTGGGAGGTTGTGCTTGGTTCAGCTTGAAGTGTCTGTGAAACCAGCTCTGGGCAATTCCTGCTGCAGCGAGAGCAAATACTGGTCTCTCCAGCCCAGGGGCCAAGGGAAAACCATCCCCACCAGCAGCTATTTGAATGCTTCATCCATCTCTCCTGCTGCGAGATAAACCTGAGGCTCTTTGCCCTTTCCCTGGGGATAAGGAGGGCGGTTATTCCTCACCCTCTGCAAGGAGGGACTTTTCACACTTCCACTTATCCCCTGTAAATAGACACAGCATGGCCACTCTCACCTCAGGGACCGCCTCCAGTCTCTCCTGCCTCAGCCAGGAAGGGACCTGCCTCCTGGCAAAGTCCCCCTTGGTGGCAAACAGAGGGTGCAAATCAAATTTTGCAGGTTCATGTGCTGCCCTTTGGAAGTTACAACTGATGTTGGCTTAGTTTTGTCCCCTCCAGTCACCTCCTGGGACGAATGCCTGTGCTCCGCCACCTCCCAGCCCTCTCCCCACCTTCTCCCTGGCACATCCAACCCCGAAGGCACGTCACCGGCTCACCTTGGTGCTGCTCTGTGGTGCGGCCAGGGCAACATCCTCCCAAAAAGCCCCTTTGAGAGCTTTGTGCTGCAAGAGAGGCAGAGCTGCCCACCAGTCCGGGCCCAGCCATGTGCACTGGGAGCTGGCAACCAGCAGATTTCCCCAGGGCTCAAGGTGAGCCTTGCAGCTTGACTGGGGGCCCTGGGAAGGGTATGGGGTGCACTAACATACTCTGATGAGCATCAGTGGAGAGAATGGTGCCCGCAGCAGCCTGCCCTCCCCGCTGAGTGACACACATGGACCTGTACCCCTGGCCAGGCTCTTTCTACGAGCCCCACTGCTCACAGGCACCTTCAGTGCTGTACAATGAAAGGCTCTTTCCCTTGTGAAGAGAAGGGACCAGACAGCCTGGTTCCCCAAGCAGAACAGAAACCCTCTGCTCCCTTCCAGCACGGGCAGCAGTGCCCCACAAATTCAGGTGGAGACGCCCCAAGCCCCTAGCACCAGACGGGTAACCCCTACCTCAGCTGGCCTGAGAGCTGTTAAAGCAGCACAGGCGCAGCCCGTATGTCGTTACAGGCATCAGCTCAGCAGGTGCTGAGCACACAGCTGACACACTGCATTTTCCATGTTCTGGCTTTGATTTCACCGGGCCAGCGCTGTCTGTGCACCAGCCCTGACGCGTGGCTCACCCGCCCGGCCTGGAGGACACAGCAGCCATTTAGCTCCAGCTCTGCAGGGAGATGCTTCCCGGATGCTTGGGTGCATTTGCTCCATCATCAAGGTTAGTGTAGATTAATCTGTAGCACAGCTGCTGCTGGAGGCCAGCTGTAGGTGCCAGCAGCTTCTCCCCATGCACTTCTGGTCAGGCAGACTTCCCATGCCAGAGAGTCTTTCTTCATGCTTGGAGTGAAAGGCCTCTGTAATCACAACTGAAGCAAGACTTGGTCTCTCTTTCAAGGCTGGAGTTTTGCCCAGGGCTCAGTGCTATCAACTCTCATGGTCATTTTTTTCCCCTCCTATTTTCTTAAAAGCCTCAAATAGAAGAAGTGTGCTCAGCTAGGAATGTCTCAGCCCTGGTTCGAGCTCAGCATGGTTTTAGTGTCTCAAGCTGGCTGCAAAAAAACCTGAACAGAGACTCCTAGTGAACCCCACAGAGCCAAAAAAAAAAAAAAAAAAAAAAAAGAGGAGGCAGAGAATAAAATGTGCCTTATTTCTGTTGAAACTCTTTGAAAATAAAAGCTAGCAGCAGTCTTCCAAATCTCAGAGACAGCAGCCTTGTCCACGCCCCTCGGAGGCAGCCAGGTCATAGCAATGGCCAGGGTGACTCCTCCCCAGCCCGGCCAGGAACAGGGCAGGGGTCAGGGCATTTGCGACAGTCTCAAGCCCTGTGTTTGGCTGGAGCACTGCCCTCCTCCTTCTCCTCCTCCTCTCACAGAGGGTGCACATGGCACCTACTTGCCCTGCTACGGGGGCTTCAGAGAACTGACTTTGTCCCCCTTGTTTTGTCCTGCCCTTATTTCTTTGCTGCAAGCTCCATCCCTGGGGGAGCAGAGGGCCCGGGGGCCCTGTTTAAGGCTGCCTCTTGCCCTCTGCCCAGCACAAAGCCAGCTCCCAGACTCCTTGCATCATCCCTTTTGCTTCTTTCCATGACCCACGCCATGGTGGCAGAGGGGGGCCCAGTCAAGCTTTCCCAGCTAAGGTCTAATCCCTCTGGCTATTTTTAAAACCTCATCCTCATTCCAGTCCTTTGTATCCAAATGTGGAACAAAGGATGAGCCATCCTTCCTCCAATCCCCCACCCTGCACAGAGAAGCCCCTCTCGACTCAGGCCCCAACCCCACAGATTTTTTGGTGTGACAAATGTGCTTAACAGAAGGCAACAGCCCCGTCCCCAGCGCAGTGGCCATGGGGACAGAGCAGCAGAGTTTGCACAGTCCCCTCACACTGGGCATTTACCCCGGCTGTATGGGTGGCTGCTTCATCTCCAGTGCATCCTTCCTGCACTCACTCCAGCCCCCTTTTCCCTTCTACATTACACTCGCTGCCACAGGAGTGTGGTGCTCCTGCGGAGCAGGGAGGGCAGAGCTCTTCCCGTTTCTGCTGCGGAGAGGGAAATGCGAGAGCAAGGTATAAATATCCACAAAGATTAACGCTTGCACAGCACACTGCCCTGGGAGAAAGTGTTGAGTGTCACCCACAGCCCGCATTCCCTTTCCCTCTGCTCCCCAGCTGCCTCTCCTGTTTCCAGCCCCGGGTTCACAATCTCCGCAGGCAGCACTTTGATTTCATTCCTCCCTCCACCCCCGTTCTCTCTTGAAAGACAGAAAATAATAGAGCCTTTGTTAGGTTGCTGCGGTGCAGGCATTGAACAAGGAGCCGCACGGGGGTAAGGGGCTGCTGGGCACAGCCGCCTGCCTGGATTACAGCATTCCTGCGCCTTTGGCTCAGGGGAAGTCAATCCTGCACCCCATAACACGTAAAGGGACTCAGCTTGCTGACATCCACAAAAAAAGCAGCCAAAAAAAAAAAAAAAATCCTCCACACCCACACTGCTGACTTTGCCCACTTTTATGTAAATTAATATTAATAGGTCCTCAAGTTCAGTTTCTGTCCAGATATATACAAATAGGAAATAGTTTCATATTTACATCATTAAGTTAATTAGGCTCTATAAAAAAAAAAGAACAGCTGTCCAAATTAGTGTCGTATGTACAGACAGCAGAGGTGAGCTCACGTCCTTGGCGCGGTCACATTGACAGTGTAATGTACACTACCACCACCGCGGGTCCCACGGGCCGTCGGCCAGCACGGGCCGGGCACAGACAGGCAGCAGGCACGAGTGTGACGAGCAAAAGGATCCCGCTTCAGGCTTTTCTGCTCTCCGGGACCCGGCAAGGAATAGTGCTTGTTTCTCGTGAGGCACACAAGTACCACAAGGTCAATTCGTGTAACGTACACTACCAGCGCTCTGTGGATCCCGTGGAAGGCACAAGACCGGCACAGATCTCGTGTTTTGAGTCGGTGGATGCTCTGCACGGCTTCTCCCAGGCGCTCTTTGACGGCGCGCACCTACAGCAGCAAGGGGCTGGTCCGGCCCTGGAGGGGCTGAGTCCTTCGGAGAGCCCCAGTGTGAGCGGATGGACCCAGCCCAGGGTCACACGATGCTGGCCAGTTCTGTGTTGTCTGACTCCGAGCTGCTGTTGCTCTCCTCCCTGGGGGAAAAAGGGTTGGGGAGGAGGCATGGAATGAGCCGTGGAGCAAGGACTGCCTCCGAGCAGACCTCTGCGTTGGAGCAGAGGAGCCTCTGAAGGGCTCGAGGGGGACGGCACCGCCTTGCGCAGTCCCCAAACGAGTTTTCTTTAGCAACTGGGGCGGGTTCCCGTTGCTCTCAAACACTTCACGCCATCTCTTTGGAAGTCAGGATTGGAAAAACAAGCCAGCCCTTCCCTCACCCCACCACCCACAGGTCTTGGAGGATTCCCGAACAAGTCACAGGGTGTCCCAACCCGCCTGGGCCTGATCCTGCCCCCACACACCCTGCTGGCATGCTGTGCTTTCTACCTCCATAGCACAAGCTGACACTCACCGTAAGTCCTGCAGGGCTTTCTTGTTTTTCCTCCGCTTCTCCTCATCGATGGGGTACAGCTTGAACAGGAGCAGGCCCAGCAGGATCAGCCCCACAGGCACGGCCGACACCAGCATCTTCAGGGTGAAGTTCACCTCGCTGGGCTGGGAACAGCCCCGGGTCTGGTACCCTGCAAAGCTGCAGACAGAAAGGGACCTTCAGGCAAAGGAAACAGTTTGTAGGAGACGAACCTGACCTTGCAGGGAGAGGTTTGGAGCCACAACTAGATTTAAACCTACCCCCCGACCTCCAACCTCCCTCCCAACCCTTGGGAAGAGGAGATGCAAGGCTTGCCTGCCTCCCCCCTCTCAGTTCCCATGCCAGAACTCACTCTAAGCTGAGTGTGGAGATGCCCAGGGAAACCCCAGAGGTAAACTTGGTGAAGAAGACATAGAAGGAGAAGAAGATGGCTTCATGGCCATGGGAGTCAGGGTGCTGCAGCTTGAAGTCATCTATGACATCTGGGAGCATGGACCTGTGCAGAGAGCGGGATGGTGAACACTAGGACTGAGCCAACAAAGCATCTCCTCTCCCTGCTGAGAGGATTTCCCTCCGAGAGTCCTATCTTGGGCTGAAAACATTGCAAAAAGCCCTTCTCAGGATTTCTAACCACTCCAGCAGGCCCTGGAAGCACCTTGCCCAGCTCTCAGGGTGCAGTGCTGAGAGCGCCAGAACCTCGCACTCACCAGGGCAGGAGGAAAGCGGCTGCAACGCTGATCCCAGCTGCAACAGCCACGATGTAGGTGACGATGAGGTTACTGTCCAGGACAGCCACCATGATGAGGAAGGGGATGGCAGACTGGATAGGGGACAAAAACCAGGTTGGTGTCAGCAGTGCCTGACCCAAACTCCTTGGCCTTGCCCCTTCCCTCCCCTGCATGCCAGCCAGGGAAGCAGTGGTGCAGCCTTCCTCCCGGAGCCCCACAGCAGCCACTTCTGCTGGCCTTGGCCACATCCATGACAGCACAAACAGCAGGATGAGGGACAGGCACTAAATCCTCATTAGCAGCAGCCCCTGCCCAAATCTGGGTCCTCTGAGGGACACAGCTCTGCTCACCCCACGTGGGAAACCCCATCCTCCCGTGCACCTCTGCGCTCGAGGGGACCCACTCACCGAGATGCCCACGTAGACAGCAGTCTTCTTCCCAAAGCGGGTAAGGAACCACTGCCAGAGGGGAATAGTCAAGGTGGCTGAGAGCTATGGGAAAAGAAGGGGGTCATGGTGTCACTTGCTGGCCAGGATCTTCTCTGGGGGAAAAGCTCTTCCCAGCAAGGAGCAGCTCCTGGACACAGCCTCCTCCATCACATTTCCAGCTTTTTCCAGCACCTGATTTCCACATACTCCCAGATCTGGCATGCAGCCACGCTGCCTGTTCCTGCCCTCACCCATCCCTCACTTGCCTCTGCTCCCAAAAAGGAAAGCTTGTGATTAGAGCGGGTGGTGTGGGGCCACCTCCTCCCCTGGTGTGGAGCACCCTGGCACCGCCGTCCTCAGGGCACCCAGCCGGTGCCACCACACCTGCCCAAACAGAAGGAGGACCTGACTCGATCCTCGGTGCTGGGAAGGGACCTGATCTTGTCAAAGCTTCCTGCATGCAGCATGGCCAAGAGCCAGGCTCCGTGAAGACCTTGGCACCTTGGACCTCTCCACCCCACTGAGCAGGGAGGGTGGGAAGTGCTCCCAGGGATGAGGCAAGCTGAAAAAGGATCCCAAGGAGCTGTTTTGCTCCATATTCCTGGCAGTAAACACTGAGATCCTTTTCTCGAGGCAGGGGGGGAAGGGAGATAAGTGGCAGGATTTGGACAAAAGGCCCCCACGGCTCCTGGTCTCCCCTGTCTCTGGCTGCCTTCAAAGGGGAACAAAGAACTTGCTGTTCCTGCCAACCCGCCTGGCCTTTGCAGGACATTTGGCAGCTCCTTCTCCCTCCCCCTCCTCCCAGGGGACCTTCGGTCACTGTCCCCATGGCCTCCCTCCCCTCAGCCCACGGAGCATCCATCCCACAGCACGCATCCCACCGCAGTCCCGGCCTCAAGGGGCTCCAGGACAGAGCCATACGCACCATGATGGCCAGGAGGATGTTCTGGAACTCATTGCGGAAACCCAAGGTGTAGGTGCAGAAGAGGGCAAAGTTACCCTCCAGCAGCTGTGGAGGAGGCAGAGAGCGGTTAGGGGGGGGACGGGCACCCCAGTCACCCCGGAGGGATGTGCCCCTCCTCTCGAGGCTGCACCCAGAGCACGGGCAGGGGAAGAAAGCGGCCATTCACCGACCCATGCGAGGGCACGAAGCCACATCCTTCCTCTCTGCCTGGGGCGGCTCTGGCTCACTGAGCTGCCACCTCACATGCTCCCAGCCCACCAGGATCCTATTTGGACCTTATGCTGCTCATCCCCCAGCTGCACTGCTGCCGTTCCCTCTCCCCAGTCCTTCAAGCCCAGCTGTGCTTACCATGAAGGCCAGTGAGGTGAAGAGGAAGCCGGCGATGAGCTTGATGTAGGCACCATGGTTCATCACCAGCTTCAGCCCCCGGAAGAAGGAGACCGGCTCGTCCGACTGGAGCTCGGAGGACTCTGGGGAGCAGATCAAATCAGCCCATCGTTAGACCCACTGAAACAGCACCCTTGGGTGCCAGGGGTGCAGGGCCTCACGCCTGCTGCTGAGCACCCTGTGCAAGCCCCTGCCCGCCTACAGCATCCCACCTCATGATCCACCCAGGATAAGCAGAGCTGGTCACAAAGCAGAGGGAAAGACAGAAGCTACTGGACTTTGGATATCACCTCACCTCAGGATGCCTTAATTGGCACTAGCAACCTTGGTCAGACAAAACTTCACAAGATAACGTTTATCTCTGAGAGTGCAGAGCAGAGAGCTAAGTCCTCAGGGCTGTGCTCTGACAGACCCAGGAGATGCTCTGGCCTCCTGCAGCACCTTCCCCAGGCACCCAGACCCAGACCTCAGCTCTACCTGCCCCTCTTCTCTGGGCCTTGACCCACAAATGAAGGGCTGAGAGCTCAGCCATGCTCCTGGGGAGTCCCTGGCAGGAAAACAGTGTTTCCACAAGTTTGGAGTATTCCAGCATGTCTCAAGCCTCACCTCTCTTCTCCCGCACGCCCACCGACAGGATCACGGCACAGAGGATGTAGAGTCCCCCGATGACCCCCGCAGCAATCATGTAGGCATTTCTCTGTGCAGAAGAAAGGGGAGCAGTAAGGGAGGGGGCTTGTCCCAGAAGCCAGACCAGTCACAAAGACAAGGGGATTATGGCAGGGCCTGCCAGCAGGTCCCCCCAGCTTACCGTGTCTGTGAGCGACCCGGTGTCGTGGGTCATGTTTAGCTCCTCCATGGCCACCGAGGAGTTGGTCTTGCCGATGAAGAGGGGGTTCTCAATGCAGGGAGTAACCACCTTGCCCACGATCTGGCCCTGGATTGCAGTGCCCAGCACAGTGCCCAACACTTCCACTGTCATACCTGGAGGGAGAAGCCAGCAGGACTGAGACACAGCCCTTGGGCACCCAGGGCCTGGCTGCAAAACCCTTCTCCACAGCACAGCCTCCCCAGCTGCAATTCATTGCCCTTCACCAGCTGAAATGAGCCAGCCCAGCTCTCCTACAACTCCCTCTAATTCAACAAGTGATAAAGCTGCAGGGAAGCAGAGCATCTGTTGAGGAAACTGAGGCAGGGAGAGAGGCCAAGACTTGGTTATGCTGCTCCCACTGCTGTATGACAGAGCAGAAGGAAAGACTCAGGAGCTCAGATTCCCCCACCATCTGCTCCAGGCACTTGGCCATAACAGGGACCACCTTCCCCATCAGCCCAGCTCTTACCAGACTAGACAAGGATGTCTGCTGGAGGAGCTGGGGAAGAGGAACAGGAAGAGCTCGACCAGCTGCAATTCAAGCCCTGAATGATGTTCATCACACACCATCCTTGGGGTGGGGTGCCATCGAACGAGCCCTTCCAGCCAGGCATGAGGAAGAAGATCATGCCCCAGCAAGAGCTGCAGCAAAGGAGCTGAGCATCGGCTGCCCCCCAGCCATGGGGAGGAAGGGAAGGAAATACTCTTACGGTAGGCAGTGGCTGAGTCCCGCTCGCTCTGCTCCCTGCTGATGAACATGGTCAGCGCTGAGTAGGGCACGTGGAAGCACTGCAATGGCACGAGGAGGATTAGCTCAGGGATGGGAACCTGCCCTTCTCTGCAGCTCAGTGAGATGAAGGCATGGGTTCGTTCTCTTCACCCCTTACCCACCGGCCCTGGTGCATGCAGAGCCCAACTCACCGTCACAAGGGTCTGGAAGATGCAGTAGAAGACAAGGTACCACATCACTTGGCCGCTGGAGATGTCCGGCACAAACCAGATGAGGAAGTAGGAGATGACAGCAAACGGGGTGGAGAAGATGATCCTTTGGGAAGACACGGTGTTAGCCTTACAAGTGCCCAGTGCCTGGGTAATCCCACCAGCCTGGCTCTCCCCACTGCCACACATCCAGTAGGGTTTAGGCATCTGATTTTGGGGACCTCCTGAGCTGCCCTGGGGTGGCCCACCCTGCTCCAACACTTGGACAGGAGATGGTTGCCACAGGGGTGATTCAGACCAGGCTGAAGGCAGCAGCTCAGGTCTAACAGGATGGGAACGGGAAGAGCTGACTCAGACTTCTAGAAAAGAGCTTTATTTGTAAAAACAGACATCCCGGATTTGACAGAAGAGACTGATCCGCTCCTGTCATCAGCTTCTAGCCCTGTCCCCAACCTCTCCCCCAGGCAGCACCGCTGTGTGTTCAGTGGGATGTAATCACCTCCCTCATCCCGGCAAGGGCTGGGGAGCAGCCAGGCAGCACAGCTCCACGGGCCCAGCAGCCAAATACCTCTCACCAGCTTGGCTTTACCATCAGCCCCCCCCCCTCCAGCCCTGGTCCTGGGGTCACCTCCATTCTGCTGGCAGGGGTGGGGCAAAGCACCAGCCAGCAGCAGGCTGGCTCCTTCTTCCACCCCTGCCCAGCTTCCCGGAGCTGCAGGCACAGGGACACGGGATGCAAAGCGCAAGAAAGGATCGGAAGGGATTGCTTAAGTACTGGGCCTTGGCAGCAGTCCCAGCAGGACCGGGCAGCGAGGGTGATTGCAGCGGGAAGCCACCCAGAGCATTTCCCCGCTTCATCCAGCGCTTCTCATAACCCTTGTCCTGCTGCAACCCACACAGGGAACAGCTCTGCCCTGTGCCAGCAGCCCGAGGACACCACAAACACCCAGGTCCCCCCATCACTCGGGAGGGCACAGGAGGAATTCCCTCTCCTGGAGGAAAGCAAGCCAGATGTTGAGCACATCTGTTTAAGAGACTGATTTTGCACGGGGATTTGCAAGCACCCTGCGCTTCACAAACTACTGGACAGGGGCTGCGTCCTGGAGTGAAGCCAGCAGAACCGGACACGAGACAGAGCCACGCACGGCCAGGGCTGGCCCTCCACTGGCAGGGTACGGCGAGATCTTTCCGTCCGGGCTGACGTACAGGACGTGAAGTTTAAATTTAAAGTCGGAGGTTGGGGGGGGGGTTCAGAGAGTGAGGAACTGAATCGCCATGGATGGAGAGCCGGCAGAGGCATTGCACAGGACCCAACACATGCACATTTTTCCATGCGCACGTCACCCCGGCGGGGGGAGGAAAGGGGCGAGCCGGCTCCAGCCACTCCTCTCCCCCGTGCTTATCGCCGCACGCATACGTGGAGCCAAGGGAAATTTTGAATGAGTCACCGCAGCCGCGCAGGGGGAACCACGTCACGCTCGCCATGGGCGCCAGCGTGTGCAGGTCGGGTGTGCCAATCCCCCGTGGGCCCACCCCCAGCACCGGGACCCGGGTGCTGAGCCCTGGCCAGCACCTCCTGGCAGTGGTAGACAAGTGACTGCGAGTTACCCCTGACCGAGGCCGAGGTGATTAAGACGCTCGGAGGAGGCTGCCGTGACGCGCTCACCCGCTCATTGGCCACGGAGCGATGGTGTGTTCCTTTGTGCCACGGCTCGCACACCCCTTTCCCAGCCCGGCGGTTAACCGTTTGCAAACGGCGGCTACCCAGGAGAAGGAAGGTCAAAGCTGGGGCTCTACTGTCACCAACACATCAAGGAGAAATTTTAGTCACCGGGAAGTCTGGGGTGGTCAAGGAAATGGGGACCTGCTCGGAGCTGGGGACAGAGTGGGGTCACTGAGGCTGGGGGAAAGGAGGCAGCCTGTGGACAAACTTCGGGGACAAAACATGCCAAAAAGTGTTTCAGAAAGAAAGAAGTGGAAGGGAGAGAGGTGATTGCCCTCCGGGAAGGTCTCTCCCTTCTGAGGAGCCGGAGCAGTCCCAAGTTTTGAGCTAGAGCTGCCGGCAGCCAGCTGGGGCTTGGCCTCGCAGATCAGACCCTTCAGAGCCCGGCAGAAACTTTGGGCCATAAACCCTCGCACAGAGAGGGGTCACACAGGGTCACCTCACGGGTGCCAAGGACTGGGATCAGGCAGCAGCCTCTGAGACCACTCCACAGCATCTGCAGCTCCCGGCTTTGCACACAGGGAAACTGAGGCAGCAGCAAGCAACTTGGCAGCCACACCAGACTGGGGCTGGGCAGCCCCACTGCAGCCAACAAACCCCGAGTTTGGGAGCTTTAAACTCAGTTCAACTCCATCCAAATCAGACTCAGCAGGTTACCCTTGAGCCGTGTACAATAGCGGCAAGCTCCTCGCAGCCGGCTGCCCTGGCACTGCTGAGGGGCCCAGCAAAAGTCGAAAGCTCTGGCTAATTCTAACGAAGCAGGAGCCGTTTGGAGGAATGCAGCCGCTCCATCCCCACCCCCTGCCTCGAGGATGAGAGGTTACAGAGAGCGGGGCCGCGGCAGCCATCCGAGCACGCATGGCTATCCCGCGCAGCCCTGCCTGCACACCCAGGCAGCTCTGCTCTAATCTCTGGACCCCAGACCCCGCCACACATGCGGCTGCCGAGAAACTATTTCAGGCCATGTGTGGGGCCTGGCTTTAACACCCAACTGCCAGTGCCCAGAGTTATTCCAGGAAAGCCTGGAAGCAGAGGGTATAATCTGCGGGGGAAAAGGACTGCGTCCCTCTAATTCCACTCCCCCCACTGCTGCATTGTATTTCAGCAATCCCGCAGGGACCCAGGACATGGGTTATTTTAGCACAGGACTTGCTACCATGTCCGCACCGAGGCATTAGCACCCTGCAACACTCGGTGTCCCGCACAGGCGTAGGTGTTTTACAGATGTCCTAACTCTGCCCTGGGTGCAGGCACGAGCCTTTTGGGGCTTTGCAAACCCCATCCCATCTGCTCCAACTCCCTTCCGCACCCCTTCACACAGCGCCCCGCTCCCAAGGGCGGCGGAAGCACCCCCGTGCAGACACTCAGATCCATGACGGCTCTTTTCCTGCCAGAACAACATCCTCGTGACTGTCAGATGGCACCCCACCACTGCGCATTGACCACGCACACCCCAGTCCCTCCTCCCTCCGGGTGTGATGCCACCTGCTCTGCTGGCACTGTCACCACCCAGGGCTCCAGCTGTTGGCAGCACCTCAGGCTTTTTGGGGCACGTGGCACCTCTACCTGGGTGAGATAGGGCGTCAGCACGTCCTGCCCTGCAAACCTCATGCCAAGGGACACCCAAAGCTGACTGGAAGCGCTGTGACACATCAGGCAGGGATGCGGGGTGCTACAGGCAGCTCTTACCAGGGCATCAGGCGGCCGAAGCGGGTCCATGATGTTTTGCTGATGAAGAAGCCCACCATGGGGTCTGTGATGGCATCCCAGGCTCGCCCCACAAACAGGATGATGGAGGCATAGAAAGGATCCAGCTGCAGGAACAAGATCTTGTGTCAGGTCACAGAACCCCCCCCTGTGCCCCTGGCTGCCCTTCCTGAGCTCCTCGAGACCTTCTTGACCAAACCACAACCCCACTGCCATTTGGGATCAGGGGACGGGTCCCTCGGTCTCTCCCCCTTGTTCAGTGGGATTTAAGGCACAGAGACCTAGTCTCTCCCAGCGCTGCCCCACCACGCTCTTTCCACAACAAACTCCTGTCGTCTCAGAGCAGATCTCCCCAGAACCCACCCTGCGGCCAGCACGAGGGTGCCCCACGGGCACTTCTCCCAGTGGCTTCCCTCCTTGTTTCACACCGACCCGGAATTCCGCGGGTTTGCGGGTCAGATCCTGCATCCCGCAGGACCAGCACCACGAGTCCATTTTATCAGCTGGGGAAACCCAAAACACGGAGCAGCCGCACGGCTTCTAACGCGTGGGGCCGGCCCGGTGGAAACCCACAGCCCTGGGACCGAAGCCCACGCAGAACCGCAGCTCCTGCGTGCGCCATACCCCCCCCCCCCCCACGCCCCCCCCTCCCCAGCGGGGCGCACCGCTTCCAGCGGGGCCCGGGACTCTGGTAAGCCGGGCAAAACAGCACCGGGGGCTCCGGTGTCCCGTCCCCCCTCCCCACGCGGGTCCCGGCCGTACCTGCGCCACATCCAGGAGGTAGATCTGGAGGAAGAAGCCGAGCGCGCAGCCCGTGATCTGGTAAGGAGCCCCCCCGACGGCGTAACACAGCTTGCTGCACACCGACAGCCGCTCCCGGCTCTCCTGCAACCGGGCTCGGCGTTAGCACCGCCGGGAAGCAACGCCCCCCCCCCCCCCCCAAAACCCGAACCGTCCCACCCCGACCCCCCCGGGGCTCACCCTGCGGCGGGGCTGGCGGCAGGCGGGCGGCAGGAGCCCCCCGGCCCGGGCCCGCTCCGAGCCGCCGCCCCCGGCCATGCCGTGCGCGATGAATGGGGCCGCGCTGCCGCCCGCCCGGGCCTTGTACCGGCAGCGCCCCGCCCCGGGAGGGGCTTCGGCCGCCGCCTCCCCGCCTACCCCCCCGCCCGGGGGCAGCGGCCTCCTCCTCCTCCTCCTGCCCCGGGCTTGCCTCCAGACCCCAGCCCCTTCCCTTCGTCCTCCCACCCCCCCGGTCCCAGCCTTTCTCCACGTCTCTGCCCCCCCCCCCCCCCCTCCTTACCCCCCATCCCCTCCATACCCATTCCTCACCCCCCATCCCTCATCCCCCATTCCTCACTCCCCATCCCTCCATCCCCATCCCTCACCCCCCCATCCTTCACCCCCATACCTCCATCCCCATCCCTCACCCGTCATCCCCTCACTCCCCATCCCTCCATCCCCATCCCTCACCCCCCCATCCTTCACCCCCATACCTCCATCCCCATCCCTCACCCGTCATCCCCTCTATCCCTATCCCTCCATCCCCATCCCTCACCCCCCCATCCTTCACCCCCATACCTCCATCCCCATCCCTCACCCCCCCATCCTTCACCCCCATACCTCCATCCCCATCCCTCACCCGTCATCCCCTCTATCCCTATCCCTCCATCCCCATTCCTCACCCCCCATCCCTCATCCCCACCCCTCATCCCCCCTCTCCAACCCAGCCCTTCATCCCATCCCTTTCTCCATCCCCCCCCCGTCCTTCCTCCCCCCCCAGGTGCCCCCATTGATGGCAGAGGCTGAGTGAACACTGCGTTGCCCAACAAGGGGACAGGGCTGGCGGAGGCACTGTCACCCTCCCTGTCCCACGGGTGGCACCAGCGAGGGAGGGCTGGGGACTGGAGACCCTCAGTGCCAGCCTCAGCATGGGCCCACTCTCAACCCCCCTCCATACTGGCCCATCAAAGGAGCTGAAGTGAAGCAGGAGCGCACCCCAGCATCAGCACCCACGGCCCCTGGCTGCTGCACAACAGTTTCAGCAGGTGACAGTGGCTCCCGGGCCCCAGCACCTCTCCCTGGGCTACCCATGGTGTCCCCCAGTCCAGACAGCCACATGGAGATCGATCCCAGCACCTCTCGGCTGTGCTGGGTGCTGTGGCCCCACTGGTGGGCACACGTATACCCGTGCCAGTGCCGTGTCACCACAGTGACAACCACCAACTCCACTTGGCTCAGGCCACCGAGGTTCAAAGATCACCCCAATATGTGCCACGAGATGGGGCTGCATAGCGGGGCCGAGCCAGCGGGGCCAGCGTGCCACCCAGTGCCATCGCCTGATTGCCACTTGGAACTGGACTTGGAGCTGCCCTTACATGGGGACAGGGACAGGCAGGACAGGCAGCTGGCACTGAGCTGGGATGCTGCAGAGCCTGAGCGGGCGCTGGGGACGAGCAGGGTGGGTGGCCCCTGGCATGGAGCAGTGGCCCAGCAGTTCCAGGAACTCCCCAGTTTCGGGAGCACTGAGCTGGTGTCACCGTTGACTCACGGTTTCCGGCCCCTTGTACGTCTGCAGCGGGTTCCCCCGCCGCTGCCATGTGTCACAGCCCTGCGTCCCCACCGGGGACGGGGGCCTGTGCGAGCCTTCAGGCTGTCCACATTTGTTCAGAGACACCAAATACCTTTAAGCAAGAGGGGAGCGAGGTGTGGGCAACGCCACTTGCCCAGACAGTTTGGCACAGACCTGCCTCGGGCTCCTCGCCCCACCGTGCCGTGCTGTCTGGGGTGCATCTGACAGACACCCCAGTGTGAGCTGGAAACCCCCCAAGGAGGAAGAAGCCTTGTATCAGGGTTGGGCTCTTGCCTACGTCTGCCGGCACAGTTGTGTAATGAATTGGGTGGGCTCTGCTCTTCCTGAGCATCAGAGCTCAGGCGACTGGGACGAGCGCCGTGACCCTGCACTGCGGTGAGCAGCACAATTTAAGGGGTCTCGGTTTCGGGGTCCGTGCTGCTCCTGTGCTGGGTGGTTGAGAGGCGTGTGGCCATTCCGCGTGGCTGCAGCCAGCTGGCTGCTGGCTCTGCGTGCTGGCGTGGAGCACAGCGCCCTGGACACCTTCTTGCTGGGGATGACCAAGTCCCCGAGCAGCGGTGCAGCCACTGGGGACATCCACGCAGGTTTGTGACCCTGACCAGCCCTGCCCCATCCCCAAAGCACAGATTGGGGTACCCCAACATGCTCTGCTCTCCCAACACATGTAACCAGGGATTTGCTGGGGCGGCACGCTTGAGTCAACACCCTGCAGGCTCAGTGCAGGGTCCCTGCTCTGTGCCTCAGTTTCCCTTTCCGCAGAGAAGGCATCTTGCACAGGATCAGAGAGGACTCCCATGGTGGCACTTGCCCGCCCTGGAGGGACTGGGTTCCCTGGAGACAGGGTAATTTTGTCCTCGGGTCCCCATTGTGTTTGATCCCAGTGCTATTGCTCCGCTCCCTTTGACCCAGGGGCTCCCCAGCTCCTGATGCTTTTGGCATTCCTGTCCTTGAGTAAAGCCCTGAGAAACTGCCTCCTGGGCAAACACGGCTTTAGGGGAACAATGAGCCGTCCTTTGTGCTGGAGATTGTGCAGAAAGACTGCAGATAGGTGTAGCCCTGCCTTACACATGAAGCAGAAGAAGCAGAAAGGCCAGGATTTCCCTGGATTAGGAGGATTTTCTCCCCCAAATCTGGTATTGCACAATTTCCAGTGGGGGATTTTACACCTTCCTCCCAAACAGATGCTCTGGGGGTCCTCACAGCAATAAATGAGCTGCCATGGGATGACCCCAGTGGGGATGTTGGTGCAGCAGCTCCTGTCAGGTTTGGGGTCCCCAGGACCCACAAGTGTTTGGGTCTAGGCCATTCACAGGGTCACCCTTGGCACCAGGACCAATTCAGCATGATGTTCTTGCAGGCAAGACCACGGCACAAATACCCCTCTGACAGCGATGCTACGTCATCCCAGCCTCCACATCCCTGAGCTGGGGACACCATTGGGCTCTAGGGGTGACTCTTCAGGGGCTGGGACCCAAATGCTGGCCCTGGGGACATGGCTCAGCCCTGGGGACAGGGATAGGGATGGGAGCAGCTCCAGTGGATGATGGCTCTGCCATCCTGCCTGCCACCCACGTCTTCCTGCTGTTGTGGATCTGGCACAGCCCAGAGCAGGAGCTGAGCAAGCGTGAGCGCACCCGAAACCAGACAGCCCTGCCAGGCTGGGCCAGCCGGGACGGGGAGGACGGGCTTGGGGGCAAATGGCAGTGAGCTGGTCCCAGAATAGTTGGGGGGCCACAGGCCAGCATCAGCGGGACTCCCCAGTTTGGGAATAACTGTGCCCGCACACCGCAGAGCTTCTCCAGGGCTCAGAGCATCTCCTGGCACCAAGCAGGGTATGCTGGGGGAAAAATGGGTCCGGGGAGGTGAGGAGGCAGGAGGGCTGGAGCTGATGGTGCATTTTCCTCCCTCTTTTCTGGACTTCACTGCCTGCTAAATTCAGAGTGGGTGGCTGCATCCCCAGGGTGCTGGGGCTGGTGTGACCCTGGGGCTGTGAGCACTGTCCCCCTCCCTGTACAGCTGGGCAATATTTTGTGGCGCTCCCCCTACCCCGCGGGGACGTGGGCAGGGGTTTCACAAGGGCCCATCCAGCCCCCGTGGCCGCTGCCCGACAACTTCACGGGGACAAAGGGGACGCCTTGCATGGCAGCACGTGGCAGCCGCCCTGTGCTGCCCAAACCTCTCGCACATGTGGGACCCTGGGGAGCGTGTCACAAGGCTGAGGGGGATGAGACAGGCGTGGGATGTGTTGGCACAGGGGCACACAGCCTCCCCTGTCCCTGGGACCCCCATAGGGACAGCAGGGTGGCTCCAAGGTGGCGGCTACAGTGAAATGAGGACAGCCAGAAGCAGAGCTCAGGGTACCCCCGAGACACCCGTCAGGCTCGAGGTGACTGTCCACTGTGGGGAAGCGCTTTGGGGCTGGAGCTTCAAAGTCCAGCCCTGCTGTCAGTGGGGATCCAAAGGGCACGGGGAGAGGGGGGGAGCCCCAGGAACCACTTTGTGTCATGCGCTGGGGCCGAGCCAGCCACCAGCTGAGCCGTGGCAGCTCCCCCGGAGCCATGCCAGCACCGGGGGCGTGTGCTCCGTGCTGGCTGCGGAGCCATGCCAGCGCACCGCGACTGGGGCAGCAGCGGGGGGGGGCACGGCGAGGTGTGGGCCTGGCCACCCAGCCCTGAGTGCCACAGACCCCCAGGGGGGAATCGCCCACCCGCCCCTGTTTGCGCAGCCGGCGTGGGCGCCCGCAGCGAGAGGCTCTCGGGTCCTGTTTGCCAAGTGCCTGGAGAGGCTGGGATGAAAGGGCTGCTCGGCCCCTCCAGCCTTCTCCAGCGGTGCTTTTGCACCTTCAAAGCATCCGGAGCCTCTTGAAGCTGGGACAAGCTCCTGCCTCACCCTGGGAAAAGCTGGAGAGGTCCCCGAGGCCAGCGAGGAGGGGGAAGGAGACGTGGCCCAGAGCTATAGGTTGTAGGAGCCTTTGCTCCTGTGCCCAGGGATGTGTCGGTGTTGGGGGCAATGTCCCAGCTCCTGACCCTCCATCCCCGCTGACCCCAACAGCGCTGGGGCAGGATGAACCTCCACAGCTTTTCATGTCGATGGGGCAATTTGTTTTCTAAAGAAAAAGAGAGGATTTCAGCCATGCTTCCCGAGGAGGGTGAAGGGCTGGGAGCAGCCTGGCTGGGGACACCCTGGGGACAAGCCCAGGGCTGCCAACCTGTCTGGGGACCAGAGCCAACGCTGAGACCGGAGCACAAAGGGAACGTCAACACGGGCTCCTTGGGACTGTGTGGGTCCTGCCTCAGCCCCGCAGGCATGCGGGTGGGATTGGGATGCTCAGGGTGTGCCACGAGGCTGTGTAGGGTGCTGCGGCCATCGCAGGGACCCCACGGCACCCTCATGGCTGGGAAACCACAGCCCCAAGCCCGGCACCCTCCTGCTGCGCTGACGCAGACGTCCGAGGCTGGCAAAGCCTCGCAAGCTCAGCTGCAGCAAGGAGGTGGCCCTGGGTCACCCCGCATGCTCGGGGACCCCCTGAGGACAGCCACCAGCCCAGCGTCCGCTGCCAGCCCTGCTCCTCTGCCTCCCCCGCGCCCTCTGCCAGCTTGGCAACGGGGAAACTGAGGCACGGAGCTGTGGGCACCGGGAAGCACCGGCTCCTCCCGGCGCTCCCCTCCGGGCCCCGGCTCCGGCTCAGCGGAGCGGGCCCGGGGGTGCCCCGTGGTGGGGTGTGTGACCCCCCCCCCCCCCCCGTTCCCGCTGCCCCACGGACGGTGGGTCCGTCACGGGCCCCGGTGCTTCCCGAATTCCAGCAGGTGGCGCCCTGCGCCCGCCGGTGGCGGCGACCGGAGACCGGGGGGGGGTGTGGGGGGTTACGGGGCGGGAGGACACATGGGGGGAGCTGTGCTGGACCGCGCTGGGCAGCGCTGGGATGTGCTGGTTCCTGCGGGGCTGTGCTGGGTGGGCTGGATTCGTCCGTGCCGGGCTGTGCTGGTCCGTGCAGGGTTCCACTGGGCTGTGCGGGGCTGTACAGGGCTGTGCTTTGCTGAGGTGTGCTGGGCTGGTGCTGGTCCGTGCAGGATCATGCTGGGCTGTGGTGGGAAAAGCTGGACTGTGCTGGGCTGCTCTGGGAATAGCTGGACTGTGCTGGGCTGCGCTGGGCTGTACTGGTCTGTGCTTTGTTGAGGTGTGCTGGGCTGGTGCTGGTCCGTGCAGGGTTACACTGGGATGCCCTGGGCTGTACCGGGTTGTGCCTTGCCAAGGTGTGCTGAGCTATGCTGGTCCATGCAGGATCATGCTGGGCTGTAGTGGGAAAAGCTGGACTGTGCTGGCCTGCACTGGGCTGTGCTTTGCTGAAGTGGGCTAGTCCATGCAGGGTTCCACTAGGCTGTACTGGGCTGTGCTTTGCTGAGGTGTGCTGGTCCATACAGGGTTCCACTGGGCTGCACTGGGCTGTACTGCCCTGGGCCTAGTTGTGCTGGACCACGAAGGACCATACAGGGCCATGCAGGGCTCTGTTGGGCTGGGCTGGGCTGCAGTGGGCTGGGCTGCAGTGGGCTGTACTGGGCTATGCTGGTTGCTGAACTGGGCCTGATTGCTTCCTGCAGGGCTGGTGCTGAAGCCCCCCCAGCTCCCAATGCCTCCAGACAGGACAGATCCTGGGGAACCCAACCACCCTGGGTACCAAAAAGAGGGTGCTGGGGCTGGAGTGGGTTGGTGCACGCTGCTGGGGGGGAACCTGCTTGTCCTGGGTGGACTTTGTAATGGCACATGTGTGTGTAACAATGCCACGGTCGTTAGTGCACCAGGCAAAAGCCGCACTGTGTTTTCAAAAGGTTTATTGCCCATCCTAGGAGGACCTTGGCAGTGGAGAGATGCAGCATCCCACTGCGCTCGTCCGGGTCCCCGAGGATGCAGCGCGTCTCTCTGGACCCCCAGGCTGGATGTGCTGGGTGCCACAGGGGCAAAGCCCTGTTTGGGCAGCAACGACGGGGCGAAGTGCTGGTGGTGGGAGCTGCGTGTGCGAGATCGGCTCCGTTGTCTCCTACTCCATCCCTGGCTTCCCTCCAGCTTGTTGCTCCCAGCTTTGTCAGCATCTCCCAGCCCCTCGGGGTGGTGGTTTTGGAGGGGTGAAGCTCCCAACTGGCTGCAGGGGCACCTCTGTGGGAGCACCCTGGGTGGGACGCAGACACCAAGTGACCTCACTGCTGCCCGGAGCTGGAACCACGCAGCAGCGATGGGTGGCTGCAGCGGGGGGTGGTGGAGGTGTCCCCATGAGGGCTCGGGAGCCCGAGGGGAAGTGGGGGGACACCCAGGCAGGAGGGGGTGGGTGGGAAAAGACACCCGTGGGGTGGTCTCAGGCAGTGGACGATGCCTTGCTGTGACATATTCCCACTTCTCCAGTTTGCCGTTGTGCTCAGCCCAACGTCCCCAGGCTGGTGGCCCAGTTACACTTGGTTTGAGTGTCCTCAGCCAAAATATTCCTTGCTGGAGTCCCTCCTTAGCGCTTGTAGAGGGGGGTGTGTCCCCCCCCCAAAACCCCGACATTTTGGATAGGCTGAGGGCATCAGGAGCTGGGGGGGGCAGCGGGGGGTCCCCCAGCCCAGCGCGAGGGGTGGCCACTGGCTAATAGCTCCGTTAGCATCCCCGGGGAACATGGGGGGGGGCATCCTTCACACCGTGCCCCCCTCGGGGGGGGGCGGGGAACAGGGCATGGCCCCGCCCTCTATGCAAATCACACCCCTGTGATTGGCAGGGGGGGCGGGGCCGGCGGTCGCAGACAGTCTATAAGAGCGGGGGGGGAAAACAATGCGCCCGCGTCCCGGCTCGGTGCCTGGTGCCGCCGCGACCCGCAGCACCGGGCGAGGTGGGCGCACCGGGGGGGCTCCCCCGCCTTCGCCCATGGGGCTGGGGGTGCCCCTTTCCTGAGCGGGGTTGCAGATCGGGCGGCGGTGTGGGGGGGTGTTGCCCCCCCCCCTTTTTTTTTTTTTTTTTTTTTTTTTTTTTTTTTTTCCTTCCTGCCACCCCCTCCTCCCCTCCATGCAGAGATGGAATTTGACTCGTATCAACACTACTTTTACGACCACGACGCCCAGGAGGATTTCCACCGCTCCACGGCACCCAGCGAGGATATCTGGAAGAAGTTCGAGCTGGTCCCCACGCCCCCCCTCTCCCCCCTGGGAACCCCCGGGGCGGAGGAAGCGCTCCGGCTGGTTCTCCCGCTACTGCCTGGCCGGGGAAGAGCCGGAATATCTCATAGGGACGGGGGAGATCTTCGGGAATCTGAGCGCTTTCATCCTCAAAGATTGCATGTGGAGCGGGTTTTCAGCCCGGGAGAGACTGGAGAAGGCGATGACAGAGAAACTTTCCACGGGCACGCAGCGGGCCACCCCCCACAAACCCTCATTCGCGCAGGATTTGGGGTTCAGCAGCTCGGTGAGCGAGTGCGTGGATCCCGCCGCCGTTTTCCTTTGCCCGCTGGCCGAGAGCAAGGTCCCCGCATCCTCGGGATCCGAGGGCCAAAGCGATTCTGGTAAGCCTGGCCACCCTCCAGCCTCGCTGCAGCCCGGCGTGGAGGACACGCGTGTCCACACATGTGCGTGCCGGGAGCCTCCCAGCCAAGGCAGCGCCTTTGTTGCGGCTCCAAGCGAGCCCCGGTCCCGGCCCCACGAACAAAGCGGGCTCGGCTGCTCCCCTTCCCGCGGGGCTTCTGCTTGGGAAACCCCTACCCCTCGCAGGAGGGTGCGTGGGGCTCCCACCCGCCCGCTGCGTGGGTTTCTGGGGGCTCCTTTTGCTCGTCCCGGCCCCACGGGAGCCTCGCGGACAGGTTGGTATGGGGCAACTTTGCAGCTCACCGTGGAAAGTTTGGTGTGTTTGTTTGGGTTTTTTTTTTTGTTTGTTTTTTTTTTTTTTTTTGCGTTGCAGTGTGCTCTGCCGTCGGCTTGTAACCTTTGCTGCTTCCTCTCTTCACCCCCCATCGCCCCCGGCTCACAGGGCCCACCCGGGACGGGTTTTCCTCGGGACAAAAAGCAAAATATCCCCCGGGGCCGGCAGGTTGCGGAGCAGCGGCCGCGTCCCCCGAGGCGGTGGCTCAGTGGGATGAGCAGGAACATCCCGCATCGCTGTGGGATCCCAGCCCAGCCCACCCCCGGGGCACGTCTGCTTGTCCCGCGTGGGCGGGGGTGTATGGGTTTACGCGGGGGGGGGGTGGGGGGTGGTTATCAGCCTGGGAAGCGGATGCCTCTTAAACCCACTAGCCAAGGGCAATGTGGTGCCAACCCCCCCGCGTTTTCAGTCTCTGTTTACAAACACAACCCCCGGGGTCTCCCCCAAACCCACCCGGCGGGGGCCCTACGCTGTTTCCCTCATTCCCACGGAAGCCGGGCTGACTCGGTTGCTCGTGGAAGAGGTGACGCGGCCCCTTGACCCCGTTAATAAATCTGCCGGTGGCAACGACCGGTGAGTCACGGCGCGGGACGGGGACTTAATGCCATTAGGAGCGCGGGCGTTAAGAGGCTTAACCCAAATTGGGGGGGGGAAAGAGGGGGGGGGGGGGCGCTGGTTGAGGGGGCGTAGAGGGGAGGCGTGGGGGTCCCGGTAGGGTCCCGGTCCGGATCCGGCCGCGCCACGTGGGCGCCGAACAAAAAGCAACAGATTGCAAACAATGAGAGGGATGGCGCTGATGGACAGGGGTGGGGGCCAATGGGGTGGTACGGCAGCCGGCCGGCCCCGCCAGTCAACCAATGGGCAGCTCGGGGGGGCGGGGCGCTGCCGGCCGACTTTTATTAATGAGCGCCGGGGTGGTGGTGGGGGTGCGTGTGTGTGTGTACACGTGGCTGAGACCGGGCGGGTTGTGACACCGATGAGCGCTGCCGTCGGCCTGTGTTAGGGGCAGGGGGTGCCCCTTCCAGTAACTCCGGTAGCCCAGTGGCTTGGAGTTGATGGGCAGAGGCCCCAGAGCCTCTGTGTGTGGGGCTGGTGTGTGGGTTGGGGGCCACAAGCAGGAGGGTGCCCTGGAGCCCAGCTCCTGTGGCCGCGCTGGCCCTGTCGCAGGAGGGGTGGGGGCCAGGCCTCTGCCCAAGGTGAGCGGCTGTATTTTCCTGCAAAGTCAAATTAAAAAAGGTGAAAACGCATTCCTGAAGTGAGAGTGATCACAAGTGTGGCTGGAGCCAGGTCACCACGCTGTCCCCTGAGGACAGCTTCGTGCTGCTGGGCTTTGCTGGCTCGAGACAAGCTGCAATGACGACAGGCAGGGTGCTTTGGGTCCAGATATGCTTTATTTGGGTCTTGCTGTTCACAGCCCTGATAACCTCCCCCCACTGACGCCCGGACTTGGGATGCCTTCGAGGTTCACCAAGTCTGTTGGAGGGACCCCTTCACCTCTGCACAGTGGGGGGTTGTCTCCTCTGTCCCTGGGGAGCCTGAGTTGAATGGGGTTTATCACTTGTGAAAAGTAACAAGTCACCAAGTGGGAAGCCAAGGGGAACAAAGGGCAGCTCTGCCCCCCATGTCCCTCATTTACAATTCCAATTGGCCATGAAAGCGCCTGACCAGGATGAACTTTGGAGTTAGGCTGCCCCAGGTCCTTAGCATCCTGTTCCTCCTGTCTCCCCTCCTCGGGCAGGTGGGCTCTGCTGTTTCTTCCTTTATCCTGGACACGTGTTGCTCCTGCTGCAGAAACAAGGCAGAAGTAAAGCCCTATCCCAATTTCAGAGGACTGGACACGTGAATGTGGTGGGAAAGCTCCTTCCTGTGCATTTCAATCGCGTAATCTTTTCTGGAGATTGCAGAGTAGCTTTTCAGTACATGAGCAAACTTTTCTGGGATGGCAGCGGGGAGATCATTTAGGGACTGTGGGGAGCCCTTGTGGGGTGACCAGGGTCTCCCAACTGATGATGACTTCTTTTTTATTTTTTTTTTTTTTGCCATGTCTCTTTTGAGCAGAAGGTGAGGAGATTGACGTGGTGACAGTGGAGAAGAGACAATCGCTCAGCCTGAGGAAGCCGGTCACCATCACGCTGCGTGCCGACCCCTTGGACCCCTGTATGAAACGCTTCCACATCTCCGTCCACCAGCAGCAGCACAACTACGCCGCCCGTTCACCGCCGGACGCCTGTGCCCCCCCGGAGCCACCCCAGAGGGATGAGGATGAGCCACCGAGCTCTGCAGAGCCAGCCCCTGCCGTCACGCTGCCTGAGCCCAGCTTGCCAAAAGCCAGCAGCAGCCCCGGCTCTGACAGCGAGGACGTGGCCAAGAGGAAAAACCACAATTACCTGGAGCGCAAGCGCCGCAACGACCTGCGCTCGCGCTTCCTGGCCCTGCGGGACCAGGTGCCCGGGCTCGCCAGCTGCCCCAAGACACCCAAAGTGGTGATCCTGAGCAAATCCTCCGAGTACCTGCAGTCGCTCATCAGTGCCGAGAGGAGGATGGCGGCCGAGAAGCGGCAGCTACGGCTGCGGCAGACCCAGCTGCTCAAACGGATTGCTCACCTCAAGGGACACTAACATCCCACGTGCCCCCCCCACCCTGGTCCCCATGACCCTCTGTCTCCCTCTCAATTTGCACATTGATTTTTTTGGTTGTTGTTGTTTTTTTTTTTTTTTTTTCTGTTGGTTGTTGAACTGTTGGCCCCAGGGGGCTGGAGCATGCGGCGGTTGCTGCTTGTGGGGTGGCTGTGGGAATGGGGCCAAAGTGGGGCCCCCCTGCCCCAGCATCACCTGCCCGGGGCTGGCTTCTTAGCACGGGGCGTTGCAAGATTTCCCCTGTTCCCCCCTGTGAAGCTTTCTCAAGTGACTGCTTCGATTTGCAGGCTCAACACCATTCCCCCTCCCTGGCAGCCCTTGCATCTCTCTCTGCCGTTTACCACCAACAGCATCTCTAGGAGCTGCCCCAGGAACCCACCCCCGAAAGTCCCACGCAACCGTGGTCTGCTTTGGCTCATGGAAGCAGGCAGAGGAAGACATGGAGAGCCCAGCGTGGGCTTCGTCTCCGGACAGATCCCCAGGGTGATGGTGATGACAGGATGTCTCTCACCAGGATTAACAGCACCCCATGGGCCGTCCCCTTGCTCGGCTGGACCGTACCTCACTTTCTTACCACTTCATGCAGTAGCTTGTCTTGGATTTTATGTTCTAGAAACTGCTGCTGTTACTGCGAGTCTTATACTGGAGGCTGTGTTTTTATACTGTATTTTTGTACCACTTTTTGAGAAGTATTGGTAAAGAGTTTGCTTTTTTTATATATATATAAAAACTTTTTTTTGGAGGGGGGTTCCTGCTGCACTTTAGGGAGATCGGGAAGGGGCTGGCTCCTGCTGGACCCTTGAACTGAGTCCTCGCAGAGGCCAGTTCCTCCCTTGCAGCTCTCCAAACCACCCATTTGCAATAACTGGGGATTTTTCCCCTTTCCCATCTGTGTGAGCCCCTTTCCCACCTTTGTGAGCACCCCCTCCCCAGCAGCCACTTAAAATCCCCAGCAAAGCTTTGGTTTTTGCAGGGAGCCTGCCTGGAGGGGTGCAGGTTGGGTGCATGGGGGGCCGCTTTCAAGGCTTCCCCCTGCCTGTGCCATCCTGCTGCCCATCCTGTGGTGGGATATGTGGGTGACAGAGTCCCCTGTCCCCTCCCTGGGGTGCTGGCAGGCGGTGGCCACACAGGATGGCACCCTTGGGTCCCTGCTGACCTGCTGAGAACCCTTAGAGTTAACACTGTGGTCGGATTTAGCACTTTCTTCATTACCTCACACTTCATAAATAAATAAGTTTGCAACAGCCTGGGTTGGCTTTTTCCATGTAGGCGGCTGTGGGTTTCCATGCATCACGCCACGATACACTGGGGGGGGGGGGGGTGGCCTGGCTGCTGTGTTTTGGGGTGTCCTGGACACGAGCAGAAATTAGCATATTTTGCACCAGGACTTGGCTGCCTCACTGCCAGCAAGACTGAGCTCTTTGTCTTGACTTTCTCCCAGTAATTGAAACATAAGCGGTCATGGCGGTGGGGCCAGGAAAACAAATCACCTGGATTATTTTTCCTCCTTTTAAGTGGCTTTATTGGCAAGGAGGGGCAAAGAGCCCACGCTGGGCTTGAAGACGGCTTTGGTGTAACTGTAAACCCCACTAATGGGGCTTGGGGCAGTCGGTGTGGGGCTATTGCTGCCCCGTGGGTCAGGGGCTGGGGCTGTGGTCGGCAGTAACCCTATAGGGAGGGGGGAATGCAATCCGCTTGCTTCAAGGGGCATCGGAGAACTTCATATACCCAGATCTGCCGAGTGGATGAAATTATATATATGTGTGTTCTCTCTGCCGTCCCTGAACCTGATGCTTTTGGGTTTCCTTCAAAAGTCTTACTCTAAATGCAGGAGGGACACGGGATCCTGTTACTGCTGAGAAGTCAGAAAAGAGCTGCTGCTGCTGCAGGAGACTCAATCACCTGGGGGAAGCTAGCCTTAAAAAGCAATGATTCTGCACGGAAGCTCTTAAATACCTGTTCCCTTTGGTTCCGGCGGCATTTCACACTTTCCGTATGTTGCATCACGCTGTGTCAAAGCTTTTTAGAGCTGTATTAAAAGGTGCTCACAGGAACCACAGCTTAAACATGAGGCAGGGTGACCTAAATCTGACACCTCGCCCATGCGCAGGAAACAAAGCCCAGATATACCAGTCCCTCAAACGTTTATTTTTGTTTGTACACTGATACTTGCAGACTGGTGTCTTTTTTCAGCTCAAGGTGACCCTCCCCGGAAGGTTTTTAGTAAGGTGTGCTTTTTCTTTTAATGATGAAGGCACATAGGCTGTTTAAAATGTTACTTTTCTTTCTTGGAAATGATGTGCAGATCCCGTGGCCTGAGCTGAAACCATCATCAGTGGAAAATGTAGTTGGTCTCAAATCAAACTGAGAAATAATCACAGTTTTGCACATATCTTTGAGTTCTCCTGCGTAAAGACCACATAACATAAATATACATCTACCTAAAACTTCCTTGGTTTCTAAAGCCGATGTCTCTTCTTGCCACAGTAAGGACCAGGAAAGCAGACTGACAGTGCTATTAAGTGAACAAAATAAACACACAGGGCTCTTCCTCCTCACTGGTTCAGCGCTGCAGTTTGCAAGTGTTGGCTGTAACCATCACAAATCAGAATTTCCAGGCCTGACAGTTATTTTTTTAACACCTATTACCCTGCTCACACCCCTCTTCTTGCGACTCACCCCCCCTCGCCTCCGCAGCCATACCCCTCACACCACCTCTGCTTTCCCACCACAGCTTTACCCCCACCAGCCCTGGTTTCGCGTGGGGCAGCCTCAGCCAGCCCGGGGATGCTGCGGGCGCTGGGCTGCCTTCACGCCTGGGCTGGCAAATTTTTAGGACAGTTTTCTGAGGCAGTGATAATCCCTTCCCCTCCAAGGGGGGGCTGGCTGCCCGCACCCCTCCCCAGCCCGCAGCCTCCTGCTCCCTGTTGCTATGGCGAAGGATGTGTGTTGCCAGGGAGATCGGCACCGCGGAGATACCCTCCTCCCGCTGCCGCCATGGCAACCGTCTCCCTGCCTTCCCTTCCCTCTGTTGCCACGGAGACAGTCGCCCGCTCCCCATCTCCCTGTGTTACCGTGGTGATGGGGAGGATGAGCCTCCGTGGAGGCTGTGGTTGCCATGGCAACAGCCCCTCTCCTCAGCCTCCTGCCCCGTTGCTATGGCAACAGCATCCTTCCCATCCAACAGCCCCTCACCCCCCCACACAGCCCCCCTTAAAAAAAAAAAAAAAAAAGGTACCACGGGGCAGAACCCCATTCGTGGGCATGGCACGAGTGTGTGTGTGTGTGGGGGGTCTGAAAGTGGGGGTGTGAGAGTGGGGGGCCTGAAAAAAGGGGTCGGGGTGGGGTGGGGATGGGAGTGGGGGTGGGGATGGGGATAGGGGTGGGGGTGGAGACCCTCCGGGGGGCAAGGGGAGGGAGCGGGGCTGGGGACGGGACCCCGCCTGGCAGAGGGACACCGGGCACGGGGCTCGGCCCCGGCCTCCCCGCGGGCGGCCCCGGCCCCGTCCCGCCCCCGTCCCGCCCGCCCGTCCCCATGGCAGCCGCCGGGCCGGGCCGGGCCATGGCGGCGGCCGCGCTGTGCCGGGGCCGGGGCCGGGGCTCCCCGCTGCCGCTGGTGGTGATCCTGGGCGCTACCGGCACCGGCAAGTCGGCGCTGGCGCTGCAGCTGGGGCTGCGCCTCGGCGGGGAGATCGTCAGCGCCGACTCCATGCAGGTACGGCCGGGACCGGGAACCGGGAGGCGCCGGGGCCTGGAGCTCGGGGCGGGGGGAGCCGCGGGGAGAAGGCCGGGGTTAGGCCCGGAACCGCCGGCGGGGCCCTGGGCCGGGCTGAGGCCGCCGGGGGGGCGGCGCGGCCTGGAACCGGCGGGGCCGCAGGGCCCGGTCCGTGCCCGGGGAGGCCCAGCCCCGCGGGGCTGCAGGCCGCGCTCCCCCGGGGACCCCGGGCCCCGCGGGCCGGATCCTGCGCACCGGATCGGCGCACGGTATTTTGTTTTCTAGCGAGCGGTGTCACCGTCTCCCCTCCCGCTTTTTGGGGGGGCGGCGGCCCTTGCCCCTTACCTCTGCACCAACAAAACGGCAGAGCAGGGCTTGCTCGACCCACCCCTCCCCACTCCCCACAATAAATTCAATTTTTGGAAAGAAACCAAAGCGCAGGTGTTTTAATTTTAACCCACAAAAAAGCGACGCGGAAGCGTAAGGAGCGGTTGACCAAGGGAGCGCAGCAGCTGGGGTTCACGGGTTGGAAGCGATACCCCGGGTTGTGCCCGCAGCTGCTGGGCCTCGAGTTGGGGCACGGGGTGAGCCCTGCCCAAAAGAAACCGCGGCCGAATCGAGCCCTTGGGGTGCTCATGTCGTGCCGGGCCGGTCCCGGTGGTGTGCCTCGCGTCCCCGCTGTAAGACTTGGTGAGGCGGCGGGGCGGGCTGGGGCCGTCTGTCCTTCCAGACGCCGTTTTAGGGACGTGGCGTTAAGACAGGCTGTAATACAGCAGCTGAAGGCGAGCGCTCCCCTCCTCAGTCACCAGCAAAGGCACACCACTGCGATACGGGAAAGAATGTTAAAAATCATATCTGCTACTTGCCAGCGATGGTCTCTGTGGCCTCGTCTCTTACTGCAAGCAGCAGCGTGGAATGTATTGGTTGTGCAGCCAGGCTCAGTCAACACCAAGCAACCAAGCCTCATTTTTTCAGTCCTAATTGCGTTCAGCAACAAGAGCTTTGTCACAAGATGTAGATTTCAGCCACCGCAGGGATTTTGTTATTGTCTAGTGAAAATTTTCCTTCCTCATCAACACTTTCACTGTTCTCTTTCTATAACGCCTGAACTTTCCATCAAGTTTAATGTTTAACACATTGGTTATGCTTTTTTATAAAGGTGTTTTCTGCCAACAACACCCTTTGCCCTTTGGGGTGCTCAGAGATCGACTCTTGCTGTCCTGCAGCCACCTCCTGGTTTCTTGCACGGGGCTGCTGACGCTGGTTGCTGTTTGCATCCTAGAGAGCTAAATTTAAAAACTCCCTCTCCTCAATTCGGAGCAAGCAATCAGAAAGCTTTAATTTTATGGAACGTTTTCTTTCAGCTCTTGGGGAAAGAGCGAGGTCTGAGCTGAATTGAGAAAATCTTGCTGGGGCAAAACATTTGTGCGAGAAGCAGGAGCTTTGTCCAGCGCTGCCTGATTGTGGGCAGCTGCCCCGGCACTGCTGGTGGTGTGAGCCCTTAACGTGTGCTCCCGAACGAAGGGCTGGCGCAGCCATCTCGCTGGCCTCGAGCCCCAGATGGAGCTGCCTGCGGGCTGGCCCTGCCTGGCCTGCGGCAGCTTTTAGGAGGCTGCTGTTAAGTTTCTAAGCTGAGTTACTCTGCTCTGAGCAGAGCTTGCCTGGTGCAGTTTTACTAATACCGACCTTTCTGATCCAGCCAAGCCCTAGAGCTTTTATTCAGTTATTCATGTCCATTTGCATACTGTGAATGCTGTCGTTCTCAGACCTTGCAGTGACCACCAGCCCAGCATACAGCAGGCTTTAATATCGGGGAAGCAGCTGTTGACTTGAGTGATCCTGCGAACATGAGGCTCCTGCTGCATCCCGAGCCCTGCAGACGTGGCCGGAGCCGATTGGCACGCTGTGAATTCTCGTTTCACGCTGGTGGATGTTTTGAAGCGTGTGTTTTGTGCTCTGGTTGTTTCAGGTCCCACTATGGGAATGCAGGCGCTGGGAGGACTCTGGCTGCAGGCACCCAATGGCATCCGAGCTTGAGTGGCTCTTGTCCTCCTTTCCTTTTAATCTCAATCTAGCGTGACTGGGGAGCGAGAGCCGAGCAGCTCCGCTGCTTTATCCCGTAACACAGCGTGCTTTCGGCACAGGAGCTCTGCCTCTCCACAGCCCCGAGCAGCGCGCGTCTGCGCCTCCCCCACCGCGTTCCACTAACCCCCGTGCCCCGCTTAGGCGGCCGCAGCCAGCCAACTGGGTCTGCTTTCTTGCTGGCTTTGTTCCCATGGAATATTCTCTCCCCGCTGCGTATCCCTCTGCCACGCAGAGCGGGCTCCGGTGTCCTTGCGGAAGAGTCGCTGGGTTTTTAAAAAAAATCCCATTGCTCATTCTCGACTGACAGCTGCCAGTGACCGTGTCGCCCTCAGCCCCGTCTGTCCATTCATCGCTGTGCCCCGTGCGGGCTCCACGGAGCTCTGATAAATGCTGGCAGTGTTTTGGGCAGCTGCTGGAGCTGGAGCCAGGCTGGGGAAGGGGCCG